ATGTAAACCATTAACCATTGTCTAGCAGATGACCAACATAAGGTCACTGTGCTTCTTGTTTAAAGAATGTTTAATAGCTGATGCTATTATTTATTAATAGAAAATACTTTCTTTTTGTTTTTTCTAGTTAAAATCTTATGTGAGTTTTGTAATCACAAAATGTTGGGATAAGTCAAGTTTAACAAGTTTAAATGTATAAAAAGCAAGCTTTTAGCATAATAAACCAGAGCTCTCTACATCATCCTGGTGTGCAGACTCTCATTTTTGCCGACTTCGTCCCTCACCTGCTCTTCACCAAGAAACCCCTCGAGTTTCTTGTCACGACCGTGGTCGGGTGGTCGGTGACACCCAACCAGGGGCAGTGGCCTTTGCTGACCCCTGCAACCCATGCTGACCCACCACGATCTGCAGGTTCACAACTACCTTCGCAGTAAGTTGTGCTCCTTGTACGAGAGGAATTGCGTCTTTGACAAGTTCACGTGCTGCTGGAGCGGCTCTGACAGGTGAGGCCAGTGGGGCATGTGTGTACCAGGGACGCGCAGGTGATTGTCACAGCCTGCTGGGCGCACCTTGTTGTGGGCCTTGCCTCTGGAGGAGGAAGAGGAAGGTCCCTCCATGCCTGTTGGTCCCCTGGGGACACGGGCCTAAGAGGTGCTTCACCAGTAGCGGCTAATATAGCACCTGTTGTCCATGGGGCTTGGGAAGCACACCTGCCTGCACTGTGTCCCCAGAGACACCTCTGCACTCATTGCACAAAGGGGTGGGACACAGCTGGGCTCATCCCCTCCCTGCACACGGCCCAGGAATCACTCCCCTCCCTGCACACAGTGCAGACCTAGCTCCCCTCATTGCACACGGCTCGGGGCTCATCCCCTCGCTGTAACCAGTGCAGCCTAGGTCCCCTCATTGCACACAGCCTGGGCTCATCCCCTCTGCACACAGCCCAGGAATCACTCCCCTCCCTGCCCATGGCCCAGGGCACCCAGTGCTGCCTAGCTTCCCTCATTGCACACAGTCCAGGGCTCATCTCCCTGCACATGGCCCGGGGCTCACTCTTGCCACCCAGCAAGGCAGCCTGTAGTCTTTGCAGCTCCCAGCCCGCAGTGCTCAGTGTCCCCAGGTGCCCGCAGTTAAACATTACCAGTCATAAACCACGCTGAGCAAGTTGGCAGGAGCAGCAGGCCGAGCGTGAGATCTGGTCACATGCCAGGGTCACGAGTTAGGGTGCAGCACGCTTGCACAGGGTCGTCAGAGCAACTACAAACGTAAGCAAGGAGGCACAGACCTGTCAAAACCACCAGGAGATTTGAAGAACCACTCAGATCTTGGCAAAATAAAACATGGGAACGTTAGCGAGTGTCCTACGGTGGACTCAGTGCAGCCTAGAGGCCAGCCGACTGAGAGCTGGAGAAATTATCAGAATACCAGTAGGGAAGCGGAGTGGGAGAGGAAGGGCCAAGGGCGCAGAATCATCATGGTGTGGAAGGCATGGTCGGGGAGAGCACTGTGGGCAGTGAAACTCAAGTCTTGAGGGGGCACTAGCCCCACCTCACTGGGCAGCTGTGCACCCCACGTGTAGCCACCCCTCAGGGACACTGTGTTTGGATGCTTGGCACGGCTCAGGGCTGCTCCAGATCACAGACCCTGTGGGTCACAGCAGTCTGATCCCACCGTGCACAGGTGGGTCATGATAGGTCCAAGGTTGACCAGCTGTGATAGTTATGGGGTAAGCACTGGACTGTGGGTCCAGGGTCGGACGTAAGCACTGGACTGTGGGTCCAGGGTCGGACGGCACAGCTCTCAGGCGCCCCATCCACACCCTGTGGGCACTGGCAGCAGCAGGAGAGATGGGATTGATGCATCTTAGTCCCAAGGAGCCATGCCTGGTGGTGAGGGTACCAGGTGTCACATCTCTGGTCTCAGTGTGGACAAGGGTGTGGCCGTGTGTCTTCTCTGTCCCTTTGCTGCCCATTTTCCTGCTTGATCCTTGAGACCTGAGCCCATGACTATGATCCCAGACGAGGCATGCTACCCTGGGACACAGACAGTGGCTTCTGTGACAAAACAGGATCCTCTCAGGGACGTTTCCAGTGGGGGAGTAGTTGGGGAAGGGCCCAGGTGGAGGTGACAGTGGTGAGAGTGTGCCATGCTCCCCGAGCCTCCCCTAGACCAAACAGAACATTCCGGTGGTTTGTGGGCCAGCAGGTGCGTGTTCATGAACCTGGAGTGACTGGCTTTGTCAGCATGAAAACCCCAACAAACAAAAGAAACTGAACTTGATAGTGAAAATCAAATGCACAAAAGCAAATAAAGGGAAATGTTTCAAGCTTCTATGAAGAAGTATCAGTCAGTGAAAAAGTGGTAGAAACAACCCAAAACAGCAAAAACTCAACAGGAAAACAGGCTCCATTTGTCCTAGTAATCAGCTGAGCAGCGGGGACAGAGGTGGCGCGGGGAGCCAGGCCCACCGGGGACACCACACACCAGTGACAGGCCACCGCGTGGCTGGCTTGAGAACATGTTAGCGTTCTGAAGACCGCGTCCTTGCTGCTGTATGCCCCTCGCAGACAGGGCTGTGTGGACGTGGGACGGGACTTCAGTCCTCCTCCTTCCTGCCGCACGGCGGGAAGGGTGCAGTTGGTCCTCAGGGTGATGACCTCGCACTCGGACGTGTCACATCTGTCCTGAGCAGTGTGTCATGACGGGGTCTTACACAACTTCAGGCTGTTCGACAGGAGCGGAGGCTTCCCGGGAGAGCAGCACGCCCCGCACGGTCAGGCCCCACAGGGTGTGCCCGGGCACCAAACGGGAGAGATCAGCGTGGACAGCCTGGTCCTCACCAGGAAGGTTCTGCACTCCGCTGGGCCCCGCTGAGAACATCCCGGCTGTGGCTGCTACCAATAACTTGTACACTGTCCAGGACAAAACCAGCTCACTCACCCTCAGGACTGGGCTCCTCGCCGTGGTCCCACCACTCCCTCCGTGGGGGAGGGACAGGCCCGAGGTTCTGTCTCCAGCGAGGCCAGTCGAGAGACAGTGCCCCACACACGCTCCTGTTGAGAATAAACCTATTGACACCTGCACCTGCCTTTCCTATTTTAGACCAAAAAGCGAACAGTCCAGAGAAGAGTCAGTGAACATCATGTCATGTCTTCCCATCACTGCCTCACACTCGGGCCTGGGCGCACACAGGGTGTGGTGTCTGTCCCGCCACCAACTTCCCGGGGGCTTGTCCAACCTTAGGTCGCAGCTGGGGCCGCAGCGGTGGTCACACACCTGTGCCCCCGTGCTCTGTACCCATTCCTCTTGGGTGGCCACATAATAGAAACTGCGTACCAAAGACTTTTTTAAATCTTGTGTCCATCTTTTTATTTGCATATATCATATTTCATGAAGTGATGCCAAATTCTTCTCTGGAACATTTTGGAAAGTTTTTCTTAATTGGTGCATGTGCAAAGTTTCAGATTCCAAGTCCCCACTGAGACCTGCCCTGGTTCCTTCTGTGCAGAGGGGCCAGGCCGCTGGGACCCCCACTCCGTCCTGCCTCCTGCACTGCAGTCTGGTACCTGCTTTTAAACCTTTTTTAAAAGAACTTTGGAGGGTAAATGGACTTTTTACATCCTGCTAGAAAGTTGCATGCATGCAGAATTTGACATTGGGTACAGGGACCAGCAGAGAGCCACAGCACCCACAGGCATCGTGACCACAAACCTCAGTGGTGACTTTAAAATTACTGCAATGAGGCATTCCACAGACATTACTGGGGGGAGGGTCCACACTGTCACCCTACCTCAACATCTCGCTCCATGGCATTTCCCGAGACCTGTCCCCATCATACTGTTTATCTCAATCACCTCAATGAGAAGATCAAGAAGGATGAGCTGAAGAAGTCCCTGTACACCATCTTCCCCCTTTGGCCAGATCCTCGATATTCTAGTCTTGAGGAGCGTGAAGATGAGGGCCAGGCCTTGGTCATCTTCAAGGAGGTCAGCAGCATCACCAGTGCCCTACGCTGCATGCAAGATTTCCCCTGCTACAGCAAGCCCATGCGAATCCAGTATGCAAGACGGATTCTGATATCATCGCCAAGATGAAGGTCACCTTCATGGCACAGGACTGCAAGCTGAAGAGGAAGCCCGAGAGCCAGCAGACGCCGGCTGCCCCTGTGGGGGCTGGGGGGCCATCCAGGGGCCTGAGCAGGTAGGTCTTCTCTGATGCAGGCGCCCCACATCATGCACCACATCCCGGGCCAGCCTCCCCACATGCCACCACCTGGCATGATCCCACCAGGTCTCATAAGGACAGATCCTACCTGAGGCCATGCCCCCTCAGCTCCTGCCGGGGCAGATGCCACCCCCACAGACTCTTCCAGAAAACCACATCTTGTTTCTCACCAACCTGCCAGAAGAGACCAATGAACTCATGCTGTCCATACTTTTTAACCAGTTCGCTGGCTTCAATGCATTGTGGCTGGTGCCTGGGCAGCATGACAGTGCCTTTGTGGAGTTTGACAGTGAGATGCGGGCTGGGGCTGCCTGTGATGTTTGCGCTCTTAAGAGCAGAATGGTCAGCTGGTCCTCAGCAACACCACTTTGAGGAAAATGGGATTTTATGTTTGTTCAACTGTTTTGACAAAAAAAAACACGTTAATACATTTGAAATGTTTCCTTGGAGCTGTGTACCTGGCCAGCTTTCTCTGCCTTGCCTGGATGTAAGATTACTTCCCGGTTAACCCACAGCCAACCCAGCCCAAGCGTCAGCTGCCTGCTCTGGTCCGTGTCCCTTTCTGGGGCCTCGGCTGCATCCTGCTGCTGTGGGTGTATCCCAGGAACCCACCTTCAGCGGTCACTTAGTGTCCATGTGCTGGCTGAGCCCCAGGGCTCAGTCCCAGGAACCTGCACTTGTACAAGGTATTGCGAAGCCCTCACTTCCTCCAGCTGAATCCACAGCAGGCTCTGCCCTACTCAGCGGGAGTATCAGCTGTGGGTGTCTGTCTCCCCTCATTCCTGCAGGCAGTGTAGAAAGAAAAAATACTGGCCATTTTTCTTGTTCATCCAAAGTTTTCTGCTTTTCTTCTCTTTGAGTGTGTACTGACAGAAGGGTGGAGGTGTTGCCCTCCAGTGGATGGTCTGTCCAAGGGGGACCTTGGGCGACTTTCACCCAGAGAACTGCCATTACCACATGGTCTCATTTCAAGAGCTCCTCGAGGGTCACGATGATCCCTATCTTCGAGGAGAGTGGTTTTCAAAGCCCACCCCAACCAGCATCTGGCCCTGTGCTGAGCTGGGGCTTCCCATTGTTGGGGTGTCCCTGGTGAACCCTCACTGCACTTCTTCTTGTGGGAGAACAGAGGGTTTGGAAGGGCTGAGGGGCTGCAGGTGCATGCTTGGGGGGTGGTTTTCTACAGCCTCAGCTGCACCAGGAGTGATGGGCTGAGGTCCCACAGGGCTCCCTTCCCCGGTCAGTACCCAAGGCAGAGTCTACAGAGGCTCTACTGGGAAGGACCAGGCAGAGACAGGCCACCGAGGATGGCCCACCCGCTGAGCTGTCACCCTTACGGAGGGGCCAGAGCAAGGCCAACCCTTGGGCTTGTGTGTGGTGGTGGTGTCTGCGGTGTAGGCAGTGAGTGCCGCTGAGCCCCTGCAGACCAGTCTGCATGCTGTCTGGAGACAGGCCCTGTGCTGCCGAGAACAGCCTTGCCTGCCTAACAGTACAGGTGGACACTGGGTACCGTCAGGGTACCACTGAGAGCAGGGTGAGCCAGGTAGAGGTGCTGTGTGCCTGCAGGCTGACCCTGGCCACCCCCCTCTCACGTCCCAAGGGGCTAGCACTTGGAGAGGAGAGCAGTGGCCAGAGGTGTCCTGAGTACATACATACTCAAGGCTGCAGGTATCATCAGTTTCCACTTCCCTTGCAGGGAGCAAGGTGGTCATCTTCATATAACACGCAGGTCA